TGTCACCAGGCTGGAGTACAGTGGTGTGATCTCAGCTCACTGCAACCTCTGCCTCCTGGGTTCAAGCAGTTCTCCTGCCTCAGCCTCCCAAGTAGCTGGGACTACAGGTGCATGCCACCACGCTCAGCTAATTTTTGTATTTTTGGTAGAGATGGGGTTTTACCATGTTGACCAGGATGGTCTCGATCTCTGGACCTCGTGATCCACCCACCTTGGCCTCCCAAAGTGCTAAGATTACAGGCGTGAGCCACCTCGCCTGGCCAAAATTCTATTTCTTTTAATAGTTTTTTAAAAGTCATGAGGGGCCTGGCACGGTGGTTCATGCTTGTAATCCTAGCACTTTGGGAGGCTGAAGCGGGTGGATTGCTTGAGTTCAGGAATTTGAGACCAGCCGGGGCAACATGGCAAAACCCTGTCTCTACTAAAAATACAAAAATTAGCCCGGTGTGGTGGTGTGCAGCACCTGTTGTCACAGCTACTTGGCTGGCTGAGGCACGAGAATCACTTGAACCCAGGAGGCAGAGGCTGCAATAAGCTGAGATGGTGCCACTGCACTCCAGCGTGGGTGACAAAGTGAGATCCTGTCTCAAAAAGAATAAATAAATAAAAATAAAAGTCATGAGGGATCAGACTCCATGAGCTGTCATCTGCAGCACTAAAAGATCAATGTATAAGTCAGATTAGTAGTTTATTAACACAGGCTACAAACAGTCCAGAGTACTTACATGGATGAGTCAGCTCATTTTCTTATAGTAGGAAAATCTATCCAGAGAACCAAAAGTTATAACGTTGTTTAATACAGACTCAAGTCAAAATTGGAAAATCTTAATTATATGCTTTGTCTTTTTTCATAATAGGGATATTCTTCTTGCCAGGCATCCAAATTAGGCCAGCCTTCCAGAATGTGTTCTCTGATTCATGCAGGAGTATACTAACAAATTCTTAAACTTTCTGATTACCATTTTCCTTCTCTTTGCAATCTGTGAATGGGTTAGATTAGATGATATCTGAGGTCTTGGCAAGGCAAAATCATTTCTTTGCTTCTAAGAATAAGATCAGTTTGATAGTTCTCATTATAACAGATAAATGGACATACTTATGTATAAATCAGTTCCTTGTAATTTTGATTAGTGTGAATCAATTTACCTAATGCTTTTGAAACCTATCAAAATCTGTGTAACCCACTTTTCTGCTGGCATTGGGAAGAAAAAAATCTGTGTAACAGCTTTGGTAATTACAGAAATTACATTTTCTTTAACCATCTTATGGTTTCCGATTAAAGTTGAAATGGAGTTTAAGATCACTGCCTAGTACCTAAAAATAAACTTCAAAAGCCAAATTTGTGTGTAGGGCATATAATCTCAGAGGCCAATTCTGGACTGTGGAACCAATCTTATTCTATATTATCATAATCTAAACCTGTTATAAACTCATCTTTGGCTGGGTACAGTGGCTCATGTCTGTAATCCCAGCACTTTGGGAGGCTGAGGCGGGTAGATCACTTGAGATCAAGAGTTTGAGATCAGCCTGGCCAGCATGGTGAAACCACGTCTCTACTAAAAAAAAAAAAAAAAAAAAAAAAAATTAGCCAGGTGTGGTGGCTCGTGCCTGTAGTCCCAGCTACCTGGGAGGCTAAGGCAGGAGAACGGCTTGAACCTGGGAGGCGGAGGTTGCAGTGAGCCGAGATCGCAGCATTGCGCTCCAGCCTGGGCGACAGAGCAAGACTTTGTCTCAAAACAAAACAAAAAAAACCTTCATCTTTGTACACTAGCATTTATTTAAGCAAGAATTGTACAAGTATGTTCATCCTGGAACTTTCAGCAATCAAAATTGTCCTAGTGTATTATAGGCCTAAGAAAGATTTTATTTTTTTTACTTTCTAAATATTAGGTCATATAATCTTTGTGGCTCCCCTTCAGTAATATCAGTTACTGTAGTTTTTTTCCATATGTTTTATGCTAGTGCAGCTGAGAACAGGCTAGGTCGTCCAATTGGAATGTTATATTTTATTTTTTTATTTTTATTTTTATTTATTTTTTTTCAGATGGAGTTTCGCTCTTGTTACCCAGGCTGGAGTGCAATGACGCGATCTCGGCTCACCGCAACCTCCGCCTCCTGGGTTCAGGCAATTCTCCTGCCTCAGCCTCCTGAGTAGCTGGGATTACAGGCACGTGCCACCATGCCCAGCTGATTTTTTTGTATTTTTAGTAGAGATGGGGTTTCACTATGTTGACCAGGATGGTCTCGATCTCTTGACCTCGTGATCCACCCGCCTCAGCCTCCCAAAGTGCTGGGATTACAGGCGTGAGCCACCGCGCCCGGCCGGAATGTTATATTTTAAATCTCTATTTTCGTATTTCCTCAGAGTGAATGTAGGAAATCTTTCTAGATATCTGTCATCTTGACAGTTTTTATAAAGTGTAATGAATGTACAATATGATCTCTTTGAATTTTCTGTTTTCAATATTAGAACAATCTTACTGTTTTCCTTCTAGTACAATCATGTTTGAAATTAAGAAGATCTGTTGCATCGGTGCAGGCTATGTTGGAGGACCCACGTGTAGTGTCATTGCTCATATGTGTCCTGAAATCAGGGTAACGGTTGTTGATGTCAATGAATCAAGAATCAATGCATGGAATTCTCCTACACTTCCTATTTATGAGGTAAACATATTAAACAACTCTGTTTTTATGCTCTTTGTTTTCTGTTTTATTAAATAATTTATATGCACTATCAATGTAAAAAATAAGTGCAACTGATAAGAAATTAAATTTTAAAAATCTGGATATAAAACATTATGGACATTGGCCAGGCGCAGTGGCTCACGCCTGTAATCCCAACACTTTGGGAGGCTGAGGCAGGCGGATCACGAAGTCAGGAGATGGAGACTATCCTGGCTAACACAGTGAAAACCCATCCCTACTAAAAATAGAAAAAATTAGCCAGGCGTGGTGGCACATGCCTGTAGTACCAGTTACTTGAGAGGCTGAAGCATGAGAATCGCTTGAACTTGGGAGGTGGAGGTTGCAGTGAGCCGAGGTTGCAGTGAGCCGAGATTGCACCACTGCACTCCAGCATGGGCAACAGAGCAAGACTCTATCTCAAAAACAAAACAAAACAAAACAAAACAAAACAAAAAACATTATGGACATTAAAACACATTACTTTGGGTAATGTGGGTGGGAAAAATGACCAGAAAGAAGTCTATCAGAATGGTTGTGTTAGTGCGTGAGATTATGGGTAATTTTTTCTCTTCCCTGTTTTCTTTTTCTTTCTTTCTTTTTTTCTTTTGAGGCAGAGTCTTGCTCTGTCGCCCAGGCTGGAGTGCAATGGCATGATCTTAGCTCACAGCAACACCCACCTCCCGGGATCAAGTGATTCTCCTGCCTCAGCCTCCCAAGTAGCTGGGATTAGAGGCGCCCACCAACACACCTAGCTAATTTTTGTATTTTTAGTAGAGACAGAGTTTTACCATGTTGGCCAGGCTGGTCTTGTACTCCTGAACTCAGTGATCCACGTGTCTCAGCCTCCCAAAGTGTTGAGATTACAGGCATGAGCACCATGCCCAGCCTTTTTCCCTTTTTTCTAATTTTGTTTGTTAGTATCATTGCCATATTATAATAAAGTTAAAAAGTGGTATCCTGTAAAAATAAACTGTTCTTATAATATGAATGTAAGTTTAATATATTTTTGGATTATTATACTAACATCAGGCAAACCTTAGATGGATAAATGGCATCTTTCATATTTAGAGTTTAGTGCCAGAAATATTTTTAACTGGAATTTCAAAATTTTGTGAATTTAGAGAATTTAGAAAAATATGCTTCTAACTATTTTACTGAGCTATCTCAGTTGCCTTTTTTTTGTTGTTATTTCCCTGAAAAATGAGTTCATATTATGCTTTTGAAACTCAACAGGAAAGCATTTGAAAATTTGATGGTAGCATTTGCTAGCTAACATTAATATGTTTATTTTTTTTTCCCCCAGAAAAGCTTGGTTATTTTTAGTTTATTTTTTCAGACAGAGTTTCACTATTGTCACCCGGGCTAGGGTGCAATGGCACGATCTTGGCTCACTGCCACACCTGCCTTCCGAGTTCAAATGATTCTCCTACCTCAGCCTCCTGAGAAGCTGGAATTACAGGTGCCTACCACTACTCCTGGCTAATTTTTGTATTTTTAATAGAGACAGGGTTTTGCCATGTTGGCCAGGGTGGTCTCAAACTGCTGACCTCAGGTGATCCCCTGCTCCTTGGCCTCCCAAAGTGCTGGGATTATAGGGATTATAGGTGTGAGCCATTGCGTCCGGCCAAAGCTTGTTTGTTTATGACTGTTATCAACCATAGACTGTAATTGCGTTAGGCCTTCAGAAGGAAAGTCACAATCCAGTTTTATCTCTTAAGTTAGGTCTGCCTGCTATCTATAGGAATATAAGATATGGGAATCTATGGAAAAGCACCCCGAGAGTAGAAGTCACTCAACAACATAGATATTGTTTGAAGCTTCTCCCCTAAGAGAGAGCTTCAGGGCTTTAGGTCTGTTTTCTTTTTATTATGGATAATTTCAAGCATGTAATTAAAGATAATAGTACAATGAATTTCCACGTGCCTATCACCTCGTTTCAACTGTTATCTACATGGCCAGTCCCCCTTCCCAACTACCACCATGCTAGTTATTTATAATTTCATCCATAAATACTTTATCATGTATCTCTAAGAGATAATTTTGTTTTTCTTTGAGACAGGGCCTTGCTCTGTTGCCCAGGCTGGAGTGCAGTGGCCTGATCTTGGCTCACTGCAACCTCTGCCTCCTGGGGGGGCTCAAGTGATCCTCCCACCTCAGCCTCCCAAATAGTTGGGACTACAGGCACACACCACCATGCCCAGCTATTTAAAAAAATTTTTTTAGTAGAAATAGGGTTTCACCATGTTGCTGAGTCTGGTAGCCCATAATAGTTTAATCCTCACAGTTTCCTCTCCTTTTTTTCTCTTCTGTCTATTGGTTGAAGAAACCAGTTTGTTTATTGCCTAGAAATTTTCACAGTCTAGACTGGGCACAGTGGCTTATGCCTATAATCTGAGCAATTTCAGATGCTGAGGCGGGTGGATTGCTTAAGGCCAGGAGTTTGAGAGCAGCCTGGCTGACATGGAGAAACCCCATCTCTACTAAAAATACAAAAATTAGCCAGGTATGGTGGTGTGCGCCTGTAATCCCAGCTGCCTGGGAGTAGAAGCACAAGAATTGCTTGAACCTGGAAGGTGGATGTTGCAGTAAGATACACTGCATTCCAGCCAGGGTGACAGAGTAAGACTCTGTCTCAAAAAAAAAAAGAAATTTTTCAGTCTGGATTTTGCTGGTTGAGTTCCCTTGGAGTTTTTCAACTTATTCTTTATTTTATGTAAATTGGTAGTTAGATCTACAGGGACAGGTCCAGCCAGATTTAGGCTTGATTTTCTTTTTGTAAGGACATTTGTTAACTGGTTTTATACTCCTCCATATTTTTAACATAAATATATCTCTTGTTAAACTAGGAATTAAAAAAAAAATAAAACAGTTTCTTGTAATAGGATTTAGAAAAATATACATTTATTTAAGTATAAAGAATAAATTGACTTTCACAGCCGTTGTATGGCCTGAATTATTGGGGGTAAAAAATGTGCAATCATAATGACAATGCAAAGTAGATTTGCCTGAAATCACAGAGGACCTTGAATTTTCTGAAAATTGTGTTCATACTCAGAGTTAATAGTTAACTCTTATGAGTAAGGCACATGGTAAACAATGACAAAGCATTAAATGAGCTGCTCTTCTGACTGTAGCAAGTTCAATGGCAATTTCCATTTTGCTTTATTTAGTATACTTATGAAGCAGGGCATGCTAGCCTACTCCTACAATCCTAGCACTTTGGGAGGAGGAGGCTGGAGGATTGCCTGAGCCTGGGAGGTCAAGGCTGCAGTGAGCTGTTGTCATGCAACTGCACTCCAGCCTGGGGGACAGAACAAAACCCTGTATCAAAAAATAAAATAACATAGACCAAGTGTGGTGGTTCATGCATGTAATCCCAGCACTTTGGGAGGCTGAGGCGGGTGGACCACCTGAGGTCAGTTTAAGACCAGCCCGGCCAATGTGGTGAAACCCCATCTCTACTAAAAATACAAAATTAGCCCGGTGTGATGGTGCATGCCTGTAATCCCAGCTACTTGGGAGGCTGAGGCAGGAGAATTGCTTGAACCCGGGAGATGGAAGTTGCAGTGAGCCAAGATCTTGCCACTGCACTCCAGCCTGGGTGACAGAGAGACTGTCTCAAAAATAAGTAAAATAAATGGGCTGGGCATGGTGGCTCACTCCTATAATCCCAGCATTTTGGGAAGCTGAGGCAGGAGGATTGTTTGAGCTCAGGAATTTGATATCAGCTTGGGCAACACACTGAAATTTTGAAACCCCATCACTACCAAAAAAAAATACAAAAATTAGCCAGGCGTGGTGGCACCTGTGGTCCCAGCTACTGGGGAGGCTGAGATGGGAGGATTGTTTGACCCTAGGAGGCAGAGGCTGCAGTGAACTGAGATTGCACCACTGCACTCCAGCCTGAGTGACAGAGACCCTGTCTCTATTAAAAAAATAAGATGTGTGCTCCCTTCGGCAGCACATATACTAAAATTAGAATGATACAGAGAAGATTAGCATGGCCCCTGTGCAAGGATGACACACAAATTCGTGAAGCGTTCCATATTTAAAAATAAATAAATAAATAAATAAAATAAAAAATAAAAAAATAACATGTGCACTTGTGGCTTTTGGTATATGATCCTTAACTTTTCTACAAAGGTAATTTGAGAGCAACCTACACATTTAAATTACCATATTACTCTCCCCTTTAACAAAAGTAATTCTATATGATTAGGTTATCTCACATAACTGGCAAGTTAGATGTACAATTCCTTTTCTTTTTCTTTCTAGCCAGGACTAAAAGAAGTGGTAGAATCCTGTCGAGGAAAAAATCTGTTTTTTTCTACCAATATTGATGATGCCATCAAAGAAGCTGATCTTGTATTTATTTCTGTAAGTATTTTCCTTTGCTATGTGAATTTTAATGTATTCTTGCCTATATAAAAGTTTTATCATATTTTAGTAGTAAATCCATTGGTATTAAGCCTCAACATTGCTTAGTATAGAGTTGTCCAGTTGCATTTTGGTTGTCACTTTGTCTAACAGTTCACAAAACCCCATAATCATCTGGTCAAATATGTCATTTCAAGTCATTGAACAAATAAACTCAAAGTTTTAATCTGAGATTTAGAACTAGGAAATGCTGGTAACATTGAGAGCACATGTGATGATAGTATATTTCATATTTATTTCATCATTTCTTGTTTCCAGTGGTTGGCAGAGGTGAGATGAAGAAAATCAGTTTGCAAACTTGGAGGCATCTCCTATCTAAATGAATTTTACATTGTTTATAACTTGGCATATGTTGGTTACACTATCAGGCTAACCAACAGATACCTTTGCCTCATAATGTGGCTGAACTGTCCTACCTTTATAATGAAAAAAACAGAACCAACACTTGAGATTAAACTGTAGTAATTCAATATTTGAACCAAAGCAACTTATATCTTGCTGTCCAAGTAACCATCTATTCTGTATGTAATGATATAGCTATCACCAGCTGAAAGCTGAGGAGGGTGTTATATGACTTAAGATCTTTACAAACTGGGCATGATGGCTCATGCTTGTAATCCCAGCACTTTGGGAGGCCAAGGCAGGCAGATTGCTTGAGCCTAGGAGTTTGAGACCAGCAAGGACAACATGGTGAAATCCTGTCTCTAATTAGCTAGGCATGGTGCTGTGTGTCTGTGGTCCTGACTGCTTGGGAGACTGAGGTGGGAGGATTGATTGAACCCTGGAGATTGAGGCTGCAGTGAACCATCATTGTACCTTGCACCCCAGCCTAGGTTACAGAAGGAGACCCTGTCTCAAAAAAAAAGAGAAATAATTCAGCCTCCTCTTTTTGACCTCCTTAATCACTTCAGAGAAACTGATGCAGCTTCTCTGACTTACCTACCCATCTCCTATTTAAACTTGCAGAAAGTTAGAGTAGAGGCATAAAAAAATAAGAAAATATTTTGGAGTAGGTACCCGGAAAAAATGAGTTACTTAGTCTAATTTTTAGGTGACCAGAGCCTGGAATGGTAATAGAATTTTTTGCAGAAAGGACATCTAAAAATAATGTTTTCGAATGCCAGACAGGAATCATTTTGTAGCAATCAGTTTTCAACTGTTTGATCAGACAGCTTCCCCTGATAAAGGAGTGCTGAAAACAACAGTTTTTGAAAACTCATCTCCCATCTCCAGCCAGTTTCACCCTACAGTATGAGCTGCCTTTGCCTTTCTGTACTCCATTACATCTAACTCTTGCCCTAAGTTGTTCCAGTGCATATAAACAACTTTTTCCTCCTGCTTTTCACACCTCAACTCAATCTTCAAGTTTCGATTTATTTTCACTTGCTTCCTTTATTTAGTCTCCCATTAGGTTATAATCTTATCAAGAGAAGAGAGTGATTACTCCTTTCTATTATTTCAAAAATAATTCCTATTCTCTTTAAGTTTTACACTTTTCAGAGCACTTTCATTTTGTCAGAGCACACTCATGTGTTAGTTTTTAGAGAGCCTGCTATCCTCATTTTCCAATGAGATCATTGAGGCAGAGGCAGCCACACTTCTCCAAGGTTACTGTAATCCAAAACTAAATGCCTAGACTCTAGGCTTATGATTTTTTTTTTCCCTATAGGAAAGTCTTTCTCCATTGGCCACGTGTGGTGTCTCATGCCTGTAATCCCAATACTTTGGGATGCTGAGGCGGGCAGATCACTGGAATTCAAGAGATTGAGACCACCCTGGCCAACATGGTGAAACCCAGTCTAAAAATACAAAAATTAGCTGGGTGTCGTTGCACGTCTATAATCCCAGCTACTCAGGAGGCTGAGTCAGGAGATTCGCTTGAATCTAGGAAGCGGAGTTTGCATTGAGCCAATATTTTGCCACTGCACTCCAGCCTGGGTGACAGAGCAAGACCCTGTAAAAAAAAAAAAAAAAAAGAGTCTTTGTCCACATAGTATTCTATATCCTGAAGACGATAGATAATGTTTAGCTTTAATGAGCTCAGAAAGGATATGTGAATGATACTGTAGATATTTTAAAAGGCTGTCAATATAGGACTGTAAAAATAGAGGAATAAAAAAGGAGGCCAGGTCCAGCATGGCTAAACTCCGTCTCTACTAAAAATACAAAAATTGTGCTCACTTTGGCAGCACATATACTAAAATTGGAACGATACAGAGAAGATTAGCATGGCCCCTGTGCAAGGATGACACGCAAATTCGTGAAGCATTCCATATAAAAAAAAAGAAAAAAAAATACAAAAATTAACTGGGCATTGTGGCATGCACCTGTAGCCCTAGCTACTCGAGAGACTGAGGCAGGGGGATTGCTTGAACCTGGGAGGCAGAGGTTGCAGTGAGCCAAGATTACTCCATTGCACTCCAGCCTGGGTGACAAAGTAAGACTCCATCTCAAAAGAAAAAAAAAAGAAGGCCATGTGTGGTGGCTCACCTCTATAATCCCAGCACTTTGGGAGGCCAAGGTGGATGGATATCTCAAGGTCAGGAGTTCGAGACCAGCCTGCATGACTTATGAAACCCTGTCTCTACCAAAAATACAAAAAAATCAGTGGGGCATGGTGGTGCGTGTCTATAGTCCCAGCTACTTGGGAGACTGAGGCAGGAGAATTACTTGAATCCGGGAGGTGGAAGTTGCAGTGAGCTGAGATTGTGCCACTGTACTCCAGCCTGGGCAACAGAGCAAGACTCCATCTCAAAAAAACAAAACAAACAAAAAAAAAAGAAAGGCGTTTTAAAGCTCATTTTTAAGGACTATAGTAATGTATACAATAAAGGGAATAAGAGAAGGCTTCTGTTTCATTTCAGATTGTGAAATCCTTTAGGATAACTGACTCATTCATTTGTATATTTTTAAGGCTTAACTGGAATCTGCCTGCCCTGGTTATCTGGCACACAGATAGTAGCTTCCCAACAAAAATTTATTGAATGAATTCTCTAGATGCCTCAAGCTATTTATTCTGATGATTATATTTATAAAATGTATTATTTCTGTAAATCTAATGGTGGATTAAATCAAGGCTACCGATGATTGGTAACTGTGCACTTGAATCAATAGTTCAGGGTATATCTCAAAATCACTATCTCACAGGTACTCTGTTATTTATCCCATATACTTTCATCAGGTGAATACTCCAACAAAAACCTATGGAATGGGGAAAGGCCGGGCAGCAGATCTGAAGTATATTGAAGCTTGTGCTAGACGCATTGTGCAAAACTCAAATGGGTACAAAATTGTGACTGAGAAAAGCACAGTTCCAGTGCGGGCAGCAGAAAGTATTCGTCGCATATTTGATGCAAACACAAAACCCAACTTGAATTTACAGGTATGAAAAATGAAGCATTAGATACTGGTTATTCTTATGTAAATACTGATGTGTTAAAGTTGCCCATAATTAATTCTAGCTTAAAACTTTCCAGGCACCTGAGGTCAGGAGTTTGAGACCAGACTGACCAATATGGTGAAACCCCATCTCTACTAAAAATACAAAAATTAGCTGGGCGGGGTGGCACCTGCCTATAGTCCCAGCTACTCAGGAGGCTGAGGCAGGAGAATCGCTTGAACCTGGGAGGCGGAGGTTGCAGTGAGCCAAGATTTCACCATTGCACTCCAGCCTGGGTGACAAAAGCGAGATTTCAGCTCAAAAAAACAAAACAGAACAAAAAACCTTTCCTTTGTATTGGGATTCCAGGTGCTGTCCAACCCTGAGTTTCTGGCAGAGGGAACAGCCATCAAGGACCTAAAGAACCCAGACAGAGTACTGATTGGAGGGGATGAAACTCCAGAGGGCCAGAGAGCTGTGCAGGCCCTTTGTGCTGTATATGAGCACTGGGTTCCCAGAGAAAAGATCCTCACCACTAATACGTGGTCTTCAGAGCTTTCCAAACTGGTTAGTATATAGCATTCAACTCTCTATTAAATTAAAGCCAAGCATTTATTTATTTTAAGCCTGATAAGCTACACAGATACTTTTTAATAGTAGTAAGAGGTTATGCTTGCACATTCAAATTATGAATTAATTTTCACAAGGGGGATCAAATATCAGAGTATAAAATAATCTGAAAAATTCTGAAATCTTAAAATAGTAATTTGGTTTTTATCACTGTTTCCCTTCCTTTACCCTTTTTCTTAATTATCTATCCTCTCTAATTTAAAACATTTTCCCTTACATCCATTGTCTTCTCAAATTGAGCCCATGAGTATCTTATATATCTCCCTCAGTAATCTGCATCAACTCATTGAAATACAAACTAGATGTATAAAATTTCTCTTTTAGTTTATCTTACTCTTCTCTATTTTTTTTTAAGGCGGCAAATGCTTTTCTTGCCCAGAGAATAAGCAGCATTAACTCCATAAGTGCTCTGTGTGAAGCCACAGGAGCTGATGTAGAAGAGGTAGCAACAGCCATTGGAATGGACCAGAGAATTGGAAACAAGTTTCTAAAAGCCAGTGTTGGTAAATTAAAAATTTTCTCTAATAAAAAGAGCTACTATTTACTGAAAGCATATTATTTGCCAGGTTCAGTACCAGCACTTTATATATCTCATTTATTCCTTATAACCTGTTAGGAAGGTGCTGTTATTTTCTTTTCAGAGATGATTCACACTCAGGGAAACTTGTGCAACTTGCTCAAGTCATGCAGTTGAGTAACCAGATGTTTCTGATGCCAAAGCCGTATTAGTCCTTATAGCATATTGGATTGCACTAGAGCAAGGGTGGAAAAACTATGGCCTGTGGGTCAAATCCAGCCCACAGCTTGTTTTTGTAAATAAATTTTATTGGAACACAGCCATGACCATTAGATTACATATTGTCTATGGCTGCTTTTGAGCTACAATGGCAGAGTTTAATAGTCTCAACAGAAACTGAATGGCCCACAAAGACTGAAATATTTACTGTCTGGCCCTTTACCATGAAAGTTTGCTGACCCAGGCCAAGCACAGAAGTTCATGCCTATAATCCCAGCACTTTGGGAGGCCGAGGCCAAGGCAGGCGAATTGCTTGAGCCTAGGAGTTTGAGACCAGCCTGGGCAACATGGTGAAGCCCCACCTCTACAAAAAAAATACAAAAAATTAGTCAGACATGGTGTTGCACACCTGTAGCCCCAGCTACCTGGGAGGCTAAGGTAGGAGGATCACCTGAGCCTGGGAGGTCAAGGATGCAGTGAGCCATGTTTGCACCACTACACTTCAGCCTGGGTGACAGAGTGAGGCCCTGTCTCAAAAAAAGAAAAAGTTTGCTGATCTTGTGCTAAAGTAAAGGATGTGGGGCAGTCATACTAGATGAATGAGAAAAAAATAGGGGATAAAAGGAAACAAAATGTTAAAGGTAGCCATTATGAAACTTTAGTTAGAAAATTATTTGGAAGTTACTTGTGCAGTTGTTAAGTTGCCTGCAAATTTTATACAATTTATAAGTCCATTAATTATCCATCTGAATTTTATTATTTAAAAATCTTAATATAAGCTTTCTGATTTAGTATAAAGAAATTTGTCACATGATCAAGTTGTCTTGTTCTTACATTAAAATATTGTTCATTTTTTTCTTTCTGCAGGGTTTGGTGGGAGCTGCTTCCAAAAGGATGTTCTGAATTTGGTTTATCTCTGTGAGGCTCTGAATTTGCCAGAAGTCGCTCGTTATTGGCAGCAGGTATTCATCTTTATAGTTGATTTCTGTTTAGCCAAGCATGGTGGTTCACACCTGTAATCACAGCACTTTAGGAAGCCAAGGCAGGAGCATCACTTGAGGCCAGGAATTCAGGACTGGCCTGGGAAGCATAGTGAGACCCCATCTCTACAAAAAATTTAAAAATTAGCTAGGCATGGTGTTGCACACCTGCTGTCTTAGCTACTCGAGAGGCTGAGGTGGAAGGATCACTTGAGCCTAAGAGTTGGAGACTCCAATGACTTATGATCTCTCCACTGCACAGTAGCCTGGACAACAGAGTGAAACCCTGTCTCTAACATAATAATAATAGAAGTTTAGCTTCTCATTAAGCACGTCACTTTTTGTCCATGAAATTTTTTTAATTGAATTTATTTATTCCAGGAACTCAACAATTAGTATATTCAATTTGTTTATTTTATGTTTATTTATTGGATATCTGCATTTTTTATTTATCTTTCCTGCTAATCAATGGTAATGGAAATTTTTGAGAAATCAGTATTCTAATTTTATAACTAAATTTGCTCCCAGAGTAAAATAAGAACAATTATCCTTAATTATAATTCTTCTCTCTCTCTTTTTTTTTTTTTTTTTTTTTTTTTTGAGACAAGGTCTCACTCTGTCACCCAGGATAGAGTGCAGTGGTGCCGTCGCTGTTCACATCACTGACGTCCTGTGCTCAAGCAGTCCTCCCACTTTAAGCTCCGAAATAGCTGGGACTTCAGGAACGTACCACCATGTCAGCTAATTTTTTTTTAAGTTTTTTTTTGTAGAGACAAGGTATCACTAAATTGCCCAGGTTGCTCTCGAATTCCTGGGCTCAGCAGTTCTCCCATCTCTGCCTCCCAAAGTGTTGGGAATATAATCATTAGCCACTGAACGTAGCCTAATTCTTTTCTACCTTGAAAGGCATAAAATCAAAATAAAGTAAGAACCTATATTGTAATGCTGGTTGAGCGTGGTGGCTCACACCTGTAATCCCTGCACTTTGGGAGGCTGAGGCAGGCAGATCACTTGAGAGCAAGAGTTCAAGACTGGCCTAGCAAGGCTGAGGCATGAAAATCACTTGAACCCAGTAGGCTAAGATTGTAGTGAGCCAGGATCATGCCACTGCACTCCAGCCTGGATGACAGGGCAAGACTTTGTCTCAAAAAAAAGAGAACCTATATTTTAATGCTTTTAAGTGGTTTTGTATCTGTTGATATTTGTTTTGGACCTTTCAGACTCACAGAGCCAAAATTAGAAACCCTTCCCAAATTGGAAGCCTTGTGAGCTCTGGAAGTAGAGTTGATGTTTATTAAATGCTTATCCTGTACTGGGTACGCTTTTGGGCACTTGGTATATAGTATCTTATTTAATCCTTGTCACTAAAGTATCCCCTTTATTAGATGAGGGAACTGACACAGAGATATTAAGTAATTTGCCCAAATTACTAGTCAGTATATGTGCCTTTCCCAAATATTTTCCCCCTGAGTTTATAATTTTTCAGGTTTCAGCAGTGGATATAGGAGGGAATCTAAAGAAATGCACGTTTCTTTTTTAAAATTTTTTAACTTTTTAGAGACAGAGTCTCACTATGTTGCCCAGGCTAGTTTCCAACTCCTGGGCTTAAGTGATCCTTCCACCTTAGCCTCCTGAGTAGCTGGGACTACAGGCACACCATGCTGCCTAATCAGAAATGCACATTTTTTTTTTTGAGATGGAGTCTCTGTCTGTCACCCAGGCTAGAGTGCAGGGGCTTGATCTCGGCTCACTGTAACCTCTGCCTCCCAAGTTCAAGTGATTCTCCTACCCCAGCCTCCCAAGTAGCTGGGACTACAGCACGTGCCACCACACCCAGCTAATTTTTGTATTTTTAGTAGAGACGGGATTTCTCCATGTTGGCTAGGATGGTCTCGATCTCTTGACCTCGTGATCTGCCCGCCTTGGCCTCCCAAAGTGCTGGGATTATAGGCGTGAGCCACCATGCCTGGCCAGAAATGCACATTTTTAAGGGAAAATAGATAGTGTCATTCCACCCAATCCATCATGATGGCTTTATCTCACTGTTCATTTTATGAAAAATACAGATAAACCCTTGATTTTCCAACACTTTGGGCTAATTGCTTAAGCTCTCAAGGTTTGATTGAGATCCTGGAAGCTTAAAGCCTTAAAAAAAGAAGTTTCTTTTGCTATGCCCACCTGGTCACCAACCTAAATTTAACAGATTAAGTGATCAGAAACTCTTATAACATTTAGTTAGTGAAAAACGTTGTCAAATGTTTGTGGTGTTATGGTTCATCCAGAGACAGCTAGAACTCTGCTTGTTGTTTGTTCCCTGTCCACTTTCCACTGGAACTTTGGTGAATAGTGGGCACAAGCAAATGAAGGTGTTTGATTGCTTATAGCTTTTTTCCACAGAGTTTAGAGACATGGGCTAAGGAGAATATGGTTTCCTATGTGCCTTATTTAGGCTGGTCTAATAGCTGAACTTCAAAAACTTGGGGGCCGGGCGCAGTGGCTCATGCCTGTAATCCCAGCACTTTGGGAGGCTGAGGCGTGCAGATCACGAAGTCAAGAGATTGAGACCATCCTGGCCAATATGGTGAAACCCCGTCTCTACTAAAAATATAAAAAATTAGCTGGGCATGCCTATAGTCCCAGATACTCGGGAGGCTGAGGCAGGAGAATCACTTGAACTCAGGAGGCAGAGGTTGCAGTGAGCCGAGATCATGCCACTGCACTCTAGCCTGGTGACATAGTGAGACTCCATCTCAAAAACAAAACAAAACAAAAAAACTTGGTTGTGTTCTCCATTTTTTGCATCTGCCTCAGCCTTATGCATGGAAAATCAAGCCAAATGAAATTAAAAATTTTTAGGATGGCTTTATTTTTTTCATTTTTGTTAAGACAGAGTCTGGCATTGTTGCCCAGACCGGAGTGCAGTGGCACGATCTTGGCTCACTGACACCTCTGCCTCCTGTGCTCAAGCCGTCTCACCTCAGCCTCCCAAGTAGCTGGGACTACAGGCACATGCCACCATGCCTGGCTAATTTTTGTATTTTTTGTAGAGATAGGGTCTTCCCATGGTGTCCAGGCTGGTCTTGAACTCCTGAGCTCAAGCAATCCGCCTACCCCGGCCTCCCAAAGTGCTGGGATTACAGGTGTGAGCTACCACAGCTGGACTTGGATGGCTTTAAGGAAGGGGATGAGTGGTTCTTTTTTTTATTATTTTTAAATCTATAGGCACTAAAGTTTGGTTAATTTTCGCCTCCTGTTAATATGTAAGCACTGTATTTGTACAATAGCACTCACCATAAAACTGAGTAATGTGTGTCACAGCCTGTGCCACTTTTAACTAATCATTGCACAATTGTACATGTAATTTCAGGTCATAGACATGAATGACTACCAGAGGAGGAGGTTTGCTTCCCGGATCATAGATAGTCTGTTTAATACAGTAACTGATAAGAAGATTGCTATTTTGGGGTTTGCATTCAAAAAGGACACTGGCGATACGAGGTATCAGTCTTTTAAAATATTTCAACCCCTTTGAGAGTGCGTTAACTCATCTTAATTTTTTGATTGATGGATGTTTACATAAAATACATATAAATATATAAAGAATAAAAATAAACATCCATATCTTCACCACTCAACCAGCTTAAGAAATAGAATCTTACCTGTATCTTAAACTCCCTGGTATTATAATATAATGCCATGTAAAGTTTAGCAATACTGATTTTTTTTTTCCTTTAGAGAATCTTCAAGTATATATATTAGCAAATATTTGATGGATGAAGGCGCACACCTCCATATATATGATCCAAAAGTACCTAGGGAGCAAATAGTTGTGGATCTTTCTCATCCAGGTGTTTCAGAGGATGACCAAGGTATGCTTTTGAGTCTCATAAATCATTTTGAGTACAAGCTTTAAAATTTGTTATCATCTGGGAACTTTAGGTTGTTCAGTTTTATCATTTATATCATTGGTATGCCCTCTTTTAAACCTCATTTCTCTGAAATGAAAGTCTTTTTTTTTTTTTT